CCCAGCAGGCGGAGCCCCCAGCGCGTGTGCAAAAGGGGAACAACGCCTTCAGGGTGCTCACCTTTCACCTGCGCAGCAGCGCCACGTGGGGACCACACGGCCTCCTTCTCCACTTAGGCCACCGAGGCTCAGGAGGTGGGACGACTGGACTTGGAATCTCCCTGCACCCCCTGCGTGACCCGGACCTGCCTGGACAAGGTCTTGCCGTGGCCTATCGTGGGGGCCCGTGAGCAAGGACTGGGCTGCAGGGGCCTGGCACAGGTGCATGGCCGCCTGGGGAAGGTGTGAGGGACAGGATGACAGGGGCCCAGCCCCAGGCCCCTCCTGCAGGGCCTCTGCCGGGGTGCTGCGCCCCTCTCCACCAGGTGCATCTGCAAGAGGGAGGAGGCTGCAAAACTGACAGCAGTTTCCTTTTTCTTTATGGCTGGCTCTCTCTCTCTCTCTCTCTCTCCCTCTCTCGCTCTCTCCCCCCCCCCTTCTTTCTGCACAGCTTGTTTTCCCGTGTGGCCCTGGGCCAACCCCGGAAGCCCCTCCCAGGCCCACTCTGAGCACAGGGCCCCCTGCCGACTCCTGCAGGGAGGGGGTGCACCCTTGGCTTTGGACCAGCCCTGTCCCCAGGGCCCCGAGCCTCGGAGCCCCTCTGCTGGGAGCCCAGTGTCCGGTTGACCACAGAGGACTTCCAGCCCCACACCGTCCCAAAGGGCCTCTCCCCAGGGGCTCTGGGTGCTCTGCCTCCCTGCAGGAGGGCGTCCTCAGGAGGCCACATCAGAGAGCCAAGGTTCCAGCGCTGACTGTGCCGCTGGCCCTGGGCCCTCACCTCACCTCTTGGAGCCTCCGTTCCCACATCTGCCTCCTCGCACACTGGTGTGCACAGAGGGCGTGTGCCGGGGGGCTCTGGTTTGAACATGCCCCCCCCCACGGGCCCATTTGTTGAAAGCCTGGTCCTCCATGGGGCAGTGACCTGAAGAGGTAGCGGTCACTGGGGCACTGAGGGCACTGTCCCTGGAAGGAACTGATGTGATTCTCGTGGGACCTGGTTAGTTATTTCGAGAGATAAGAGTTCTAATTGTGACAAGAGCAAGCCTGGCCCTTCACACTCGGGCTCCCTGTCTTGCTGTGTGGCCTCCTGCTCTCCCACGCCCTTGCCACGTTGCCGTCTGCCATGGGATGATGCAGCCAAGGAAGCCCTCACCACAGGGCCATGCCAGGCTCCAAAACTACGAACCTCTTTTCTCTACAAAGCACCCAGCCTCTGGTATTTTGTTATTAAATGACTAATATGGTCCATGACATGCTTAGTACCGGATCTAACCACAAAAGCCCTCTATAAACAGGATCTGCCACCACCATTGTCTTCAACCAGGGTCTCCTGCTCCGCAGACCTTCCACTGAATTCTAGAGTCTCCAAATCAGCAGAGACTGTAAGGGCCATTAGATCTCACCCTGTCACCCTCCTGGAACTTCCACACCTGTAAGGAGGGGGAGCTGATCATCGTTACTCTGCAAGCTAATGACCTGGTCTGCCTCGTCGGACACAGCCCCAGAGGGAAGTGGCTGCCACTCTTCCATCCCAAACGCCAGCACAGGGGGAGTCCCCCGTCCACGGGGGTATTCACAGAGGTGCCGTCAGATCAGAACTCTGCCTGGCTCGAGCCAACTGTCACAGAGCTAGGACCTGATGAGGAACAGGACTGCAACCAAACAGCCTCACCAAGAAAGGGAGGATTCCCAGAGACGGGAGTTCAAAGGAGAGGGGGTGAGCCCCGTAGAGGGGGAACTGGGGGCCAGCCATCGGGGGCTTCCCTGGAGTGAGTGGAGAGGGAAGGGGAGGGCTCATCAGGACAGTGGTGGAATGTGACAGGGCAGAGGGGACAGCAAGGAATGTCAGCTGAGCATGGCAAAGGGGAGGTCGCAAGGCAGCGTCCCCACAGGGACTGGAGGGCACAGCAAGGACTCTGTCTTCCTCCTCGTGGCAGCCGCGAGTCCTTAAGGGTCTTTGGGCAGGAATCCATAGGCTCAGTTTCGCACATGACAAAGGTCCCACGGCCGCTTCCCAGTCACTGTCCTTCCTTCTATTCATGAACAGCACGGGCACTACCTGTCACTCTGCCTAGACTGCTAGCTAGTCCCCGTAGAAGTCAGGAGAGGACAGGTTGTGCTCCAATAACAAAACCCCCAGATCTCAGCGGTTCAAAACAACAAAGGTCTATTGCCACTCACACTGTGGGCCACCCTGGGCCATCAGGACTCACTCAGGGACAAGGCAAGGACCCAGCCTGGCAGAAGCAGACACATCCCGCCCACTACCAGTTGCCACGCCCAGGGAAAGAGCACCCCAGAGGTTCTCCCACCAGCAGTACACACTTTAGCCTAAGTCCCACGTATCACTGTAGCTCATGGCCCCACGAGCCAGCCGTCTGCCGTGAGATGATGCCACTTGGTCCTKCGAGCTAGGGGAACCCTGCCCCACCCCTGCTGTGAATCTGGAAAGTCTGGAAATATCCAGAGGAGAGCATGAAGGGCCTCSGGCCCCAGTTCGCCCTTCCCTGGTCCCCAATCATTCACAGGTGGCAGCTGAGCCAGGATTCCAGGAGGTGGGGCCAGCGGGGGCAGGAGCAATCTTGGTAGGATCCGAGGGGTCCAGGAAGGGTAGGAGATGGGGCGGGGAAAGGTGGGGGCCATTCAGCTCAGAGGCTTTAAGTCACGGTGACATGTACTGAGGAGGCTTCAGCTGTTTTAACAGAAACCGGGAGGCCCCTCGGATCCTACTTGGAACACGCTGCTGGCTGCAGTGCCGAGGGGCCGGCCGGAGGGGGAGGGTGCAGGTGGCCTCAGCAGGCTCTTGCTGTTGTCCTGCAGAGAGACAGCTGTGGCTCTGGAGAGGTGGATGATTTGCAGAGGGCATGGACTGGGGTGAGGGGGAGACGCTGGGGTTTCTGTTGGAAGGACCAGCAGGGTGACCTGGCCTGGGTCAAGACCAGCACCCCAGGGGAGGTCAGGAAGGAAGATCAAAGACAGCTCGGAAACTGACGTGTTTGACACCACCCTGAAACAGCTTAGAGGGAGGCCAGGTAGGTGGCTCAGGGACAGGTGACCYCTGGGCTGGGCTATAGCTCAGTTGGTAGAGGGCTGGCCTTGCATGCACAAGGCCCTGGGTTCGACCCCCAGCACCACAAAAAGAAAAGAAACAGGTGACTCCCGACCCCTTGCCCAGTGCCCCAACCAACGACCCAGAACCAGGGAAGTGCAGGAGAAGAAAGTTCTAGAGGATAGAATCTTGCTGGACACCAAGGAGAGCAAATTTCAAAAACTTCTCCAACTGTAACTGTCCAGTAACTCAGGTCCAAATCACACGTAAGCAGAGGTGACAGCTGTGGTGGCTGATTAGGGCTCGGGGGACAAGTGATAAAAGACCCTCATCTTTGAGAATGTCACCAGAGAAGGGAACCAGCCGCTGCCACCAGCTGCTCCTTGAGGGTCCTGTCAGTGAGGAACTGGATGGAGCAGGGTGGGGCAGTTCGGGTGTTCGGCTATGCCCAGGGCAGCACTCTGCAATGACCAGGCTCAGAGAGCGACTCTTGTTCACCCTGAACCAGGGCCTGGGCTACCTCAGGGACTCCATCTCTGCTCTCTCATTTCATCTCCCCGCTGGCTTGCTGGTCAAATTTTGGTGGCCCCACTTTAGGGAAAGAGAAAGAGGTTCAGAGAGGTCAAAAGGAACATAACAAAGCCCTAAGTCACACAGCTGTTGAGAAAGGGCTCTGATGGAGAAACCCTTTCCACCCAGCTAAATAAAGCAGGGGGCCTGGGCTGTGTTCCCAGAAGGGAAACTTTGTAGACACAGCCCACCTTTTGGAGGCCATGCCCCACTCCCAAGGGAAGGAGGCCACAGCTCCTTACTTTGGGCCCACACACCCCACACCCCCAGCCACCACCCCAGGAAAGTCCCCAGCTTCCTTCCTCTGGAGGGGACATGTGGGCAAAGGCCACAGGCATCATGCTCCAGCTCAAAAGAATGGAAAATTCTTTTGCTCGGGCACAGACAAACCCCCAAAGTTTGCAGGCTTTGCAGGCATTAAGAGCACTCTGGCCTCGCTGCCTCCTGTCCCCCCACACAGAGGACTGGGCGTGTTTCCTGGCAGCCACCTTAAATTATATACCGCGGCTTTTCTCCCCATGAAGGAACCGGCCATGAAGGAACCCCATGAAGGGACTTCCCAAGTCCCAGCCCATTCTGGGCGTCTGACCCCGCTCTCCCACCCGGGTCCGGACTCCAGCAACTTTCCGCCAGCCTGGCCCATCCATCGCCCACGACCGCTCGGGTCTCCCTGCAGCCACCCGCCTAGGGCACGCTGGCCTTGACGGAGGAAGGTCATTGGCCACCAAGTTTCTGCAGTTTCTGCAGCTCAGAGTGCCTCAGGGACTGCGAGCAGAGGGGGGGTGGAGGCTGCCGCCGCGGAGTCCCCACCGCAACTCTGCTTCACAATGCCCTCCACCCACGCCCTGCGGCGCGACCACACGTCGCGGGAACCCGAGCGCCGCGCTGCGGGACACCCCCTCCCGGGGCCCGGCACCTCGCGGCCGAGCCGCCCCCGAGAACTAGGCCAGCGGCCGCGGCGAGCCCCCGGGCGCCCCGCCCCCCGTGTCACCGCGTTCTCATTCCGAACGCTCGCGCGGGCGGCCGCTCCCATTGGTCGGCGGCCACGTCCGTCAGCGGCGGAACGAACGCCGAGAGAAAAGGCTACATTGTAACAAGGCGAGCGCGCCGCGAGCCGGGGAGGGCGGCCGGGGCGGCCCGCGTCCCGCGGCGGCGGCGGCGGCGGCTACCTGCCGAGGGTGACCCCACCTCGGGGCCGCGCGGCCGCCCTCCGCCCTCCGCCCGCCCGCGCCCCGCCGCCGCCCGCCCGCCGCCCCGGCCCGGCGCCCGCACTCGCTGGCGAACTGCCGAGCGCTCTCCGAAGCCATTTTCAATGGCCACCGTGGCTACCGGGCTGACTCACCTTCCCGGGAACGCTGCGGCGGCCGCGGGGCCGGGCGGGCGGGCGGCCCGGAGGGCGGCTCGGCGGAGGCGGCGCGGCCCGGGCGGGCGGCCCCGCGGCGGGAGCGGCCGCGCTGCGGGCGCGCGGGTCCCCGCGAGGCAAAGTTTCAGCGCCAGCCTCGGCGCGGCGGCGGCGGCGACTCGCTGCTGCTCTCCTCCCCTGCTTTGACCACCATCTTATTAGTACAGGAAATGACATGGAAAACGGAAGAAAGCGGCGTTTGGGGCAGACGCGGACCCCCCAATTCAGGGGCCGGAGCCGGGACTCGGCCGCCGCGTCCCAGCCSGGCCCCGGCCAGGACTCCCGGGGCCCCTCGGCCCCCGCCCCGCGCCCGGGGGCGACGCGGCCGCTCGGACCCGCGAGGAGAGGGCGAGGGTTATAATGCCGCCCGCGGAGGAAGGGAGGAAAAAATAGAAACAAACGAAAAGGAGCAGGTCCAGCCAACTTTCCAGCCGGGACACTCTGGGGGGTCGGAATGGAAAGTTGGAGGATTGGGAGGCCCCGGCCCGAGGGGGCCCGGCCCCGGGCAGCCCCGGGGAGGCCGAGAGTCGGGGGGCGACAAAGGCGCTTAGATTTTTAACCCTTTCGGGGCTCCGGAGCCCGTCTGCGCCCGTCCCCCCGTAACCCTTGGGATGCCCGGCGGCTCAGAGGTGCACGCTCAAGGTGTGACACCTGGGCGTCCCGTGGAAGGCTGAGGGCGACGCCGGGGGCTCCTTCCAAATAGTCACTGTTGGGGACGCGCTGGATTCCAGGTCCCCAGCCGCACGTGTTCAGCTCCAAACGCGTGCGAGATCGAGACGCGGAAATTGGACGCGCTGGCGGTTGGCTGCCTGGGAAGAGACGGCTAAGCCACGCTCCCTCGCTCGGCCCCTCAGTTTCTCCGTCTGTGAAATGGGACTCAGCATCACCGCGAGGGAAGATGGCGAGGAATTTTCACAAAGACAATGTGTCCGAAAGGCTGAAATGCCACCCTTGGCGCCTGGAAAGCCCCATGGTTGTGACCAGGCTGGGACCTTTGGAGGAGGCCCTTCCWCCAGGGGTGGCGTCACCAGGACAACCCTTCTCCACACAAACCCCTTTTCCTAGCCTTGCCTGCGAGGCCTGCGGCTGGAAGGGTCGCCAGGTCTGACCTTCCAGGAGGTGTGCTGCTGGCCCCAAGACCCTGCTAAAACCCAGCAGGAGGTTGTCCGAGGGATTCCACCCCCGGCAAGGCCCTTCCCCCAAATGTCCACAGAAGCCTGCAAGAACTGGCCCAGGAGCTCCCTGTCCTGCTGCTGGCCACCCAGGGCACACTCGTGGCTCCTGGAGTCTAGGGTGGGGCTGGGGGGGAGGGAGGCACCCTGTGTCCCACCTCGTTCTTCCCTTGACTTCTCAGAATCCCATGCCTCTTACGGTCTGTGTGATCTGGAGTAAGTGAGCACCTCTCTGAGCCTCAGTTTCCTCCTCTGCAAAGTAGGGCACAGTCGTCCCTTCATTGGCGGCTCCGAGAGGAGCAATGAGGCTATTTCAAGAGCTCAGCACTCAGCTGCTCACAGTCAATGCCGAAGACACAGCGGCAGCGCCATCATTATTGGAGTAGAATGACAGGTTCCCTGAGAGTGACTCTGCTGAGGGCCGGGCCCAGGAAAGATCGTGATGAGTGTCCTCAAGGGGGCCTCAGTCTGGCCTGGAGACAGGCCCTCAGGGCCACCTCAGGTTCACAGAGTAGCTGCACATCCATGACACCGAGCAGAGCATCACACTGGGGCTTTGGGCAGGGGAAGGGGCGCTGAGGATCAGCCCCATGTGCCTTTGGAGGGGAAGAGTTCACCAAGGAGGGGCCATCAGGCAGGGATGGAGGTCACCTTGGGAAAGGTGGCATTCCAGGAAGGCAAACAGCAGGAGCAAAGACATAGAGGTGTCAGAGTGCCCAGGGCAGCTGTGGCTGCAGGGACTGGGGCGAGGGGGCAGGGCAGAGCAATGAGATGAAGCCAGAAAGAGGAGGAGGTCAGAAAGGGTGCCGGGCGGCAGGAGATGGGCAGGTGGCAGGCTCTGCTCCAGCGGGGCTCTGGCCAGACCTCCAGCCACATGGCCCTGGGGATTTCCCTCTGCCAGGAACATCAGCTGGGTGGTGTGACATGGAGCCTGTAGCTCTCCCCCTAGGCACCAGGTTCGTCCTGCATGGCTCAGGGCATTGCCACCAGGGGGTCCTACCCTGCCCTCAAGGTGCTGTCCCTTTAGCCCCAGAGTCTGGTGCCAGGTCAGGAGGGCCTCTGGAACTCCGCTGGGAGGTTGCTAGGCCATCCGGGAAGGTTGTGTGGCCTCCTGTGGGTTGTGTGGGTGGAAGGCAGCCCCCCGGGCAGAATGCAGAGCAGCCACAGCAGACTGGGTGACTCTCCCAGGAGCCAAGAAGGGAACTGAAGTGACATTCCCTTCAAGGGCATCTACCGGTTGACCTCTTAAGGATCCAAGGCAGATGTCATCATCATCACTTTTACAGACAGGCTGCATGCTCAGAGAGGCTGAGAGAGATTTGCCAGAGGTCACACAGCCAGTTAGAGGTAGGGTGCGGTTCAAACCCAGGACTGCCGGATGCCATTGCTCGGCGTCCTCCACTCTCTGTCATTTCTGATTCATCGCCCTAGTCCAAAATGCGGACAAGTGGTTGGTGAGTGTTTCTCTAATTTTCTTCTCCGGGCATCACACAGAGGGAGCTGATCAGAACCTTCTGATGTGGAGTCAGGGATTTTATGATCTGCCCTTGCAAAAAAAAAAAAAAAATGTACTGGTGATCCCACTTTGGGTTCCTGTGAGGACGTTGCAAGGGTCTCAGCGAATGGAGCCTGGCTCTTTGGGAGGAAAAGTCATCCTGCAGCCTCCTCCCAACCCCCCATTGCTAATGATAATACCCAAGCAATACCCAAGTTGAGTGCCCCCGGGGCTCTGGAAGGAACAGTCACAGGAGAGTCACTTCCACATTTCCACACAGCAGAGACTTTTATTCCATCAATTAATAATCCCTCCTAAAGCCTCGGGACAAGTCTCCTTCAGGATTTACGTACTGCCTGGGAAAAACTCTAAAACTGAAATAAACTACATCTCCCCGGAGAAAGCGGCAAGCATCTTTCTGGCTAATAAGAGGAGCTCTGTAGCTGACCAGGCTTCCCTCTTTGCACGGGCTGCCAGGAAGCTCAGAGCCAAATTCCACCCTGGTTTCCAACAACTTTGGCAGTTGCTTCCTTCTCATTCCTGCTGTCCCGCTTCTAATCCTACTGGCTCAGCCTTGGTTTTGCTGCCTTTTATTAATGACGTCCCCCCTTTTAATGGCAAGAAATAAATCCTTCAAATAAATCCACATTTAAAAGAGTCATTGAGGGGACCTGGATTCCAGTGGCCTCGAGTTAAGCCAGGCGTGGTTCCGCTCTGGTCTTGTCCACTTGCCCAACAGCTGAGGGATCCCTCTCTTGGAAGGAAGGAGGGACTGGCCTAGGACCAAGCGGTTGCTCACCCAGCTGTCAGCAATGGCTAAGATCAAAATGCCCTGGGGCCAGCTCACAGTGGCTGTTTTTTTGCTTTGCTGACAATCATCCCACCTCTCTCTCACCATCTCCTACCCTCCCCCGGCTACCCTTCCTCTCCCGGAAAAAATATCCCCGTTAGTCCCTCCGGTGGGGCATGGCAGGGAACTGGACGGTCCTCCCTAAGGAGCCATGGCCTGTGGGAGACAAGGTGAGGTCCTGGGCGGGGCAGGGGAGGCAAGGACACCTGGAAGCGTGGCCAGGGCAAGTCCTTCCTGGGGAGTGCCGCCTGGCAGTGAACCCTCAGGGGCATTGATGGAGGTTGGTCCCACAGAGTTGGGGGTCATGGAGCAGGGCTGGGTGCTGGGGGGCCTGCTGGCCAGAGCTGGGAGCAGCGTCCTCACTGCCCTGTTCTCAGGTACGATCCTGCCTGGGTGCCCCCAGCACCTGCCTCTCCAGCCTTCCACAAAGGAGCCCGGCACTTCACAGTGAAGGCAAGAAACATCTGTTATCTCACCATCTGTGAGGGTCCAAGATTTGTTTATAAACTCATCTCAGAAGTGACACGCCTTCAGTTCCCCAATTGGGTCATACTGACCAACCCTGCACAGTATAGCAAGGGACAGAACAAGGCACGATACCAGGAGGCGGGATCATGACTGGTGGTCCCCTTGGAGGCTCTTCCTGTTGCTTGCAAGGTTGAAACCTCGGAACTGCACCAGAGGCCTTATGTGCGCATCTCCAGGGGCACCACAGAAAGCCCTGACCTCAGCTGGACAGCCTGCCCTGCTCGCTGCCCTCCGTGGCAGACAGGGCGGTGGCAGACAGGGCGGTGGCAGATCGGTGGTCGGAGAAGTGGCCCACATCAGCCACGGCTTCTGAACTGGGCCCTGGGCGTCTGGTGGCGTTGAAATCCATGGCTTCTCCGGCACCTTTTCCAGGTCTCAGTCTCCTCCCCTGTACACTGGCTGGCAAGGCTGGATTCGGTTGTCACTCAAAGATGAAGTGATTCTGAGCGTTGCTCAGCCCCTCTTGACCCTGCAGGACGAGGAAAGGGGGGGGGGGACTGTCTCCTAGTCCCAGGAGCCTCCAGGATTGCCCCTGAATGCCCCTCGGCCCCAACCCCAAGGAGCCTCACACCCATCGGGGAGCACACTTAGGACCTCGGGGGGAGCCACACGGAGACAGAACTGCCGAAGAAACGGGGCCCTGACCGCAGAAGGGACTTGCGCTGTAAGTGCTGAGCCTCTGGGTCCTGGGGTGCCATCGGGGCTTGGGGCTCTTCCAGAGACCATCTGCGCCCAGGGAGGGTGTCGGTCCAGGGCAGCCAGCGCAGCCGGAGGCGGGGAGCACTGTCGGGAGGACCAGCGCTCTGGTCCGAGCCCCGCCATGTGGCCCCCGGGGTGCAGCAGGTCCTCCCTGCGCGGGGGCTTCAGTCTCTTCCTTCAGAAAGTGAGGGGCCAGCCCCGCCTGCCACCCGCACAGCCCCCGGTTGGAA